TTAACACCTTAAGTCTCCCGAATATGGAAATCGATTTAAATACTTGTTATGACATAGTCTTGAGTTTTCGTCCTTTAATAGCTCTTAAGTAGTTTATCTAGCAGTCAGCACCATCTAGAAGTCACACGCTAAGTAATTAAGCTGATGCAAATAAGTGAATGATCTTGTGCTTAATATGAAGTCAAAATAGGAATCCGCCTTTTAAGTTAGTTGACCATCACCTGGTCACTTAGGCTAACGGTTGTGAAACCTTTAAAAAAAAAGAGACAAAAAAAGAAAAAAAGTGTCTAATTGTGAATTGTTGAAAATATATGGATCATAGTCACTAACAAGCTTATTTATCATGTTTATGAATAGATAAAGGGCTTAATGTGATTGCACTAGAATGAAAGAGAGCAAAAACGAGGATGAGTAAGTTAGACTTAAGCATAATGACATGATTTGGATTGGTTTGTATAGGAGGGAGCCTTATGACTGCACAATTGCGGATTTATGTTCTTACGATATCCTTAGTGTGCAAAATTAGTACCTATCGATGCAATTTTGACCGAAGATGAGCTTATAGCCTAGAATGCGTATCTAAATGTTCTTGTGTTTTGATAATACTTTGCTCGGAATGCTAAGGTTCAAGTGTGGGAGAATTAGATCAGTGCATTTTGATGCACCTTTCTCTATGTTTAGACTTAAGCATTTCTATAGTTTAGTTTGTTTAATTTACTATTTTATGATGTTTTTACAATTCAATTTATTTTCAGCCATATTTGATTTTCCTTTGTTATTTTCAGCATTAGCAACTTTTAATAAAAAATTAATAACTAAAGCTACAAGAATCGGATCGAGGCGTCCTACCAGTCGTTGGAAAGCTAAGGAAAAGATCTACAACTATTGTGTTATAAGAAAAGGCTGATTCAGATTGCTTGAGTCTCCAATAATTCGTTGAAGTTTCTAACTGTAATAATTTAGTTGTTTTGCCCTATTGGGCCTGGTTTATGTTTCCTACCCAGTTGAGTGTGTAATGCAAACCTTATTCTGTTTATTTTGCTTTTCATGTTTCCATGGCAAACTAATCCTAAGGAAAAATCTGCCGATTTTGAATCCCGTAATCCTTTGAGGTTTATTTTAATTCCGATTTAATTTAATGTCGTTCCAATCATTTTATAACTTCGTTTGCTTAATTCGTTATTATAAAATAAATTGGATTTAATTCGATTGATCGATGTTCCTTAACTTAATCGCGGATTAACTTAGCTTTTTCGTTAATTTGCGTCATCTTTAACCGTCTGCTTAATTCGGTAATTAGGAATATAAGTCGTGTGGTATTGTCGACGCTTGTTTGTCAATATTGCAATCGAATAGGGATTGAAACCGTCTGGGAATTGGAATTGTAATGACTGATGATAAGTTGGGAGTCGAACCGGTAGATTTACCTGTTTTAATCACTTATTTCAAAATCACTTATTTTACTGTTAATTTTCGTAATCGAATCATAAACCAAAACAACCCCCCCCCCCCATAAACCTTTTCTTTAATTGGTTATTTTATAAACTAGAATCCTTATGAATTGACATCCGAGTTATTGTCGCTTTACTACATTTTTCAAATTACTCGTTTTTGATCCGCGCGCGACAGCGGATCACTTTGGAACTTTGACCAACAGTCAATGATTCCTCAAACCCTTTAGGAGAACTACAAATACTCATATTTCATTCCCGTCAGGATATGTAGGCACAAGATGCGACGTTTTCGCGAGTATACTTAAAACTAAACCACTAGGTCTTTCACCTTTAAGTAGATAACCCTAGCAATAAACGCATAAAACAAGAGGTTCCTGTAGAGTACTACAGAAACTTAGGATGCTAGCACCTTCCCTAAGTTTAACCAACCCCCGAACCTAAACTCTCTAGCTTTTGCATTTGCATTGCATTATGGGTAATTCGATATTTTTCCCTTCCTTTGGACAAATAAAAGACCGGTGGTGAACCAATGAATTAATATTCAAATTAATTAATAAGTTGACATCCAATTCTCACCGCGACAGAAATGGCGACTTCACTGGGGACGCTTGTGGGTTTCCCTAACTTGTTTTATTTTGCTTTGTTTATTGTTATATATATATATATATATATATATATATATATATATATATATATATATATATATATATATATATATATATATATATATATATATATATATATATATATATATATATATATATATATATATATATATATATATATATGCTTATTTGTATTACTGCTCTTGTTTATGCTTTTGGCTGGTACCTTTGTGTGGTGAAATAAGTCCTACACCCGGACTTGAGTGAACTTATTATAGGAAGGTGATATATTCGACGAGGCTTATAGGGAGTGAGTACCGACCAAGCTGACTTGAGAATCACCGCTTAGTTGAGGCCCTCTTGAAGGTTGTACTGTTGAACGAGTAGTCGTGAAAATAGTCACTATTTTCGACCTTGGAGCCTGTGATACTGGGGACCGTAGTTACCTTTAACCCCACTTTGGTCTTTATTAGGACGTAGTGCGATGACTATGAGGGAGTAGTCTCGAAATAGTTACTACACGATGCTACACTCAAAAGAGGTTCTCTTGAGAATATTATTTACCACCGAGTAGTCGGCAAATTGATAATATTCGAAAGATGGACTAATGATTTTGAGCTCCTTTTTTAGAACCTTGTTCTGTAGGTACAATCAACCTTTAGTCCACACCCTTCGGGGATGGGTATACCCTTTTCTCCATGCTCGTTGCAAACCTAGGGTTTTCCTATTTGTTTACCTCTGTGTATCTCTATGTGCTTAAATGTATTCACGTAAATTTCTTGTAAGTATAGTCTAAATTCTAGTAGTTTAAATGTATTCATGTAAATTTCTGTTTTTGTTGTAAATATTGTGAATACTGAGCATTTTGATGTTCCTTGACAGTTCTTCTTGCCCATTTTTGATGATAGGAACAATTGGTGAAGGAAAGAAGGACTGAAAAGCAAGTTTTGAAGTTTTCGTGCCAGCAAAGTGCGCTTAGCGAGCTTTTCAGCGCGAGGCCAGCGGGCTCATGTACTTTCTAGTAGCTAAAGGCCCAAAATGTGCTAAGCGGGCTCCTACCGCGCTAAACGCGCTTCTTGGATTTTCTTGTTGTGTTTTCTGATCGTGCTTAACGCGCCGCTGAGGCCGCTTAGCATGGTGCCACTTACTGCACTAAGTGGCCTTGTATATAAATATCTCCTTTTGTAGATATTTTCACCAACTTTTGTACTTTTCACTTTCTACACAATTTTTAGCATTTGAGTAAGAGAGAAAAGATTTTCTAGGTAAAAAAACCTTAGAAACTCTTGGAGAAGTAAGAATAAAATCTTTGGAGCATCAATCCTCGATTCTTCGACTTTGATGCTAGTAAAGCTTCTTTTCTTACTTATCAATCAAGCTACCATGGTGATGGGTAGCTAAACCCCTTTTGTGTCAAGATTAGAGGTAGCTAATCTTGCTTTTATGTATTTCTTTTGATATTTTGTATGTGAACAAGGTTATGATCAATAGATGATGAAGATATTTGCTTTTATGTATTACCTTATGTGAAAAATGTATTTCTGAAATTCACATAAGTACTTTTTTTTAGAAAGTGTCTCCACTACTTTTGTGCTTTCAGTGTTTATACCATGCCTATGAAAAATCATAAGCCCTCCAATGAGATATCATCACAAATTAAAGAAATGAAAGCACATCTCACAATTGTTTGACCTCCCACCTACCTTTATGATCTGTGAGCAAGTCTCGTCATCTTCTTCCACCCACTCTATCAAAAGCTCGTACACCTCAGACCCCACCTCTACCACAGAACCTAAAATAATCCTTTTCATGGATATGAACCATTGAATTAGATCTTCAAAGCAAAAAAAATTCTGGAAATACACTTTTGGAGATATTTCGAAAATACATTTTTAGAATAATTCAAATTATTAATATGGATTGTGGTTCAAAAACAAGTGAATTGTATTGTATGAGGTGCGTCCAGAAATGCATCTCTAAGATCTGAGAGACATTTTCGAATTTTCACGTAATACCTAAGTAATATAAGGTGCATTAAAAAATTCATTAAATTTATATAAATAACAAAAGTTACGTGATTTCTTTGGTGAACAATGTTATCCGACAAGCAATAGGGTTAGGTTAAAATATGTTAGTCCTTATTTTATAATTTTAAAAATAATTTACCTCAAATACATAATTTTGTTAAATCAGTCAAATTCTATGAAAAAAAATTTAATTTGTTAGAAACAAATTTATCCAAAATAATTAAAAGAAATGATAAAAATTATATATATATATATATATATATATATATATATATATATATATATATATATATATATATATATATATATATATATATATATATATATATATATATATATATATATATATATATATATATATATATATATATATAGAGAGAGAGAGAGAGAGAGAGAGAGAGAGAGAGAGAGAGAGAGAGAGAGAGAGAGTGTGTGTGTGTTTTTTTTTATATAATTTTTTAAATATTGTAAATTAATTGTATCTTAGGTGTCAAAATGTGTTGGACTAGTCTTGGACACCATCAGGTATAAAAATAGCAATGAGATAAGTTTGATGAGGGAGATATATGCAATACAAATGTAATATCTTTAGTGTGTCACATATGATATGATGCCTACTTATATCCAATTAAACTAGAAGGATAAGTAAGAAATTACTTATATAGCTTGAGTAACAAAATGATTCAAATTTGTAATTTAAGAGACCAAAGTAGAACAATATAGTAATAGACAACGTTATGTATTCAATTATTGGAATGCCCATGTCAACTTTTCATAACTTTCTTATTTTATTACTATTTGCCAACTGTCTTATCCACACATGTGATTTTCCATTGCCAAAAAGATTCGCAATCTCTATAAAACACTTGCTCTGGTTGATTCTCTCTGCAGCAGTTTGATTGTGCTTGACAAAAATGGCAGAGGAGTTGATATTGTTAGATGAATGGGTTAGTATGTTTGGTATGAGAGCAAGGATAGCATTGGCTGAAAAAGGGATAAAGTATGTGTACCATGAAGAAGATCTTGACAACAAGAGCCAAAGGCTTTTGCAAATGAACCCAATTCATAAGAAGATTCCAGTTCTTATCCATAAGGGAAAACCCATTTGTGAGTCTATAAATATCGTTGAGTATATTGATGAAGTTTGGAATGGTAGTGTTCCATTTCTACCCTCAGATCCTTATCTGAAATCTCAAGCCAGATTTTGGGCTGATTTTGTCAACAAGAAGGTTAAGTTTATTTAGCCAAACATATAAATTATAATAATTGCATACTAGAAAATGAAAAATATTTATCTTCTTGTCCCTTTTACAGGTTGGTGATGTTTGGGGGAGGATATGGCCTGGAAGGAGAGATGAGATAGAAGTGGCAAAAAAGGAGTTGATTGAAGGGTTAAAGGAATTGGAGAATGTGCTTGGAGACAAACCTTATTTTGGCGGTGACACATTTGGGTTTGTTGATATTGCTTTGATTCCTTTCCACGGTTGGTTTTATACTTATGAGGAGTTATGCAATGTCAAAGTTGAGGCAGAGTGTGGTAAGCTGATTGCTTGGGCAAAGAGATGCAAACAAAGGGAGAGTGTTTCCAAATCTGTTGCTGATGAGAAAGAGGTGTATGAGTATGTTGTTAACTATAGGAAGAGATTTGCCTTGGATTGACAAGACTCTTTGGAATCTCTGAGAAATTGAATTTGTTGGCTTTGGGTTCTAAGCAATTTGGTTTTTCCCAGTGTTTGGTCATGTCTTGTTGATTTTCTATAAAATGTTTTCTAACAATATTTTCTGCAAAAGTTTGACTTGAGAAATGATGATTTCCTACTTTGTTCCACTATGGCCTCAAATTCAAATATGATATAACTTTTAAATCTCTGCAGTCCTTTATTATGTTGCACATTTAATGTAAATTTATGTACTAACCATCATGTCTATAATAGATTTTGAAGTATGAAAATGTATGAATGAACAACCTATTGACTTGAGAAATCTGGAAGCTCATTCAAGTGATCACAACAGCTGAGGTCCATTTTCTTTAAATTAATTAGATCCTGGAACCAACCAAAGAAACTTTGATCACATTATACAGTGTAGTAATATTAGTTTCATATAATTGAAGCCGACACACCTGCACTCCATTAGACAAAGACTCAAAGACCAGCAGGAAGGGAAACTTTACATCTCTCACCCAAATGAGAGTAGAATTTGAGTATGTCGCAAGGAGATGGAGAGTGCTTCGAAATCTGTTGCTGGTGAGAAAGAGGTGTATGAATATGTTGTCAACTATAGGAATATGTTTGAGTTGGATTGAGAAATTAGAGAATCACAAGTTTTTCAATTAAAAAGTCATATTGAATGTGGATCATGAAACACCTCTTAGTTTTTCATATAACATACAACCCAAAGCTATACATTCTTTAAATAAGTTGCAAATAAGTTGCAGAGGAGGTTGCTTCAAAACCGCCACAACTCTACCACGGCAAATCTTCCAAAATTTTCAGAACCACATAAGCATCCAAAGTTTTAGGAAGCATACCAAAAAATTGAAAAAAAAATGTTATGTTGTAATGCAAACTGAATATCTCATCACACTAGTGTCTAAACAAGTTGCTGCTATACAAAATACTCATTCCAACAAAAGATAGATAATATGCTACTAACAACATACTTCTACACTTCATAAGACTAAACACACAATATTCCACAGTAGTCATTACGCGATTTTTATGAGAAAATTCGAATGAATACGAAAGAATAATGAACAAAAATCATGCCAAAGTGTGAAGATGCGGACTAAAATCTATTAAGAGTACGAAATAGTGACTTAACAAGAATTCTTAAGAAAAAGTAAAGAAATTGTGAAAAAAAACGAGAATTTTTCAGCACAATTTACATCATACCGTTTGTTCAGTAATTGAATCATATATGGAGTTTCATAATTCAGACTGACACGGAGTTTATAGCAAAAGAAAGCGAAAAAGGAGACCTTTCAACTTCTGAAATTCTTGCGCCCGCAATGCATCTCATCGCAGCGCGATGAGGCGCTTTTTAACTGAAAGACAATTTTCTATTTAAAGGGTTGTTTGACCACTTTTTCAAAAGTTCTTAATTTTAGAGAAAGTGACAGCTAAAAAGTTTCAACATGCGCCTTGGAAGCACATTCGTGTGATTGGAGAACAATTCTTTCATAGATTTTGATGATGAATACTTCTCCATTGATGGTATTTGTTAATTCATCAATGAGTAGTTAAGTTTCTTTAGATTAGAATTTTTTTTTGTTTTTACTCAATTGGATAATATGTCTATTTGAGATTTGTTGATTACTTTTAATGTTATTATCTTATTTAAATTGTTCTTGCGTTTAATGTTTTTTGTCGCCTACGTGCGTACGAATCGGTCTAGACTATTAGGAATTTCTAATTGTTAGTCTAATTATCTGAACTACACAATTTATTCAACTTTGTAATGAATTAGGAATAAGAATTTAGAAGTTGTTGCTAATGAATTAGTGCTCTTATAACGTCTAATTTAACCTTGAATTAGCCTAAAGAATTAGTGAATTACCGTATAAATTAGTGAGTTGGACATCAATGAATTAGGTGTAGCGCTTATGTTGATTTGCAGTGAAATGATAATATGATTGAAACTCAATAGGTAAATAGTTCATCAACGGATAAAAATAAGGGGATTCACTAATAAAGTCCTAATCGTCTTCGCAATCTTGAATTTAATCTTTTTAATTTCTCGTTTTAGAACTGGTTTTCCAACGAAAACTTCCATTTTTATTACTTATAGTTGCACATGATTTTCTTATTAAATTACAATCATCGTGGAGACGATATTTTTATTATTACTTCGACATTATTTTTATACTTGTCGAGAAATCATCAAGTTTTTGACATCGTTGTCGGAGATCGTTATTTTCAACCAGATAAATTTTGAGCAAAGTTTGTTATCTTTAAATTTTTACATTTAAATTTGAATTTTCTTTATTTCTATTTTCTATTTTATCTCCATATTTGGTTTAATTTATTTTAGTTCCTATTTGTTAGCTGGTTAGTGTAAATACTTAGAATTCTTTTTTTTTTCTATTTTAATTTTTCTTTGTTATTTTTAGTTAATATTATTATCTAGTTTAGTGCTACTGATGTATTTCTCTTTTGATTGTGTATGCGAGGTAAAAAAAGACTTGTATAATGAAGCTGATTCTTAAGTTATTCTGTTAGCAAAACTTCAAGCTTTATTAAAGCAATGTGTTGCGTCAACTCTAGTTCCAATAAATGTTAATTCTAGCAGGGCATTACGGTGTGATTTTTGTGGTGAAGATCACGCCAATAATTATTGTGAACCATACGTTGAAGAAACATATTATTCGAGAAATTATCATGAGTCAGACCATTACATCAACACGTATGCAAGGTGGAATAATCATTCAAATCATAAATTGGGTAATGTTCAAATTCAAAATTTCAATCAAGAACCTCCTCACGATCCACCACCAAGAACGTAATCCTTTATAGAAAAAAATTTGAATGAAATTATGAGGGCTGCTCAAAATAATTTTAGAACAAGTGAGAGCACTCTAGAAATACCTGAAAGGGAGTCATCTCTTCTAAAAGAGACTATGAACCAATTCAGATTGACTCGAAGTAATTTGGAAGCAACAAATTCAAAAATTGAAGCATTCCGCAAGAACCTTGAAGCATCCAACTAGAACATTGAAGCATCCATCAAGAATATTGAAAATCATGTTGGGAAATTATCTAAATAAATGGAAGCTCAAGCAATCAGAGGTTTTAATAGGAATGAATATGTTGGGTAATTCTAGGAGTGATGAAGTTGAGAGAAAAGTCAAAGATGAATGGAAAATAGTTGATGAAGGAAGAGTTGAAAAGGAAAAATAAAAATAAAAATAAAAATGAATGCCATCAGATAATATTGAATCAAGAATAGAAGAAGTCAATGCGAAAAATAGATATGGAAAAAGAGAACGAATGGTAAACGAAGATGATCTAGTTTTGGATTCAACAATTTATCTAAATTCAGATATCCAACAAGAAAATCTTCAACAAAAGAATTCTCTTAAAAGCTATTATAGAACCAAGAAAGATGGAAGAGAAGAAATAGATAAAGTATTGGATGTCACTTATGCCTTGTTCATTAATATCAAGCTGAAGAAGATATGGAAGTCACATCATCAATATCTCAAGTTCATGGGAGTACTACCAAACAAAAGATAGAATAATAATGATGTTTTTTCTATGTAATTTATGTCACCCTAGCAGAAGAGAAAATATTCAAACTTAGGACCTTAAAGAAGCACTTAATGAGAGACATCCCATCGTTTTTTTATTTCTAGTTTTAGGATACTTTAGTTTATTTTCCTTTTTGTACTATGATAAAAGGAAGATTAATAGTTAGCTCTCAAGAATGCTCTCACTTTAGTACTTCTCTTTGTTTGAATTTAATAAACTTGTTTGTTTCTGTTTTTTCTTTCAATTTTTTATTTTCTACCTTACTAGTGCCTTGATGAAAAAGAAAAGAAAAAGTCACCAGAAAAAGAATGAAAAGATCAATAGCGAAGTTCCCTTGCAGATTGAAGGTTGATAAAGAAAAGGGAAATCAGATACTTGTACTCAATCTCCAAATACATCAACTAGTAATGTTTGAGCAAAATATTTTTCATTTTTTACTTTTCCTTCTTATGAGAGTATCCATGCATTAGTCATTTTCTAAAATTTGTAATGTTTCTGATTTTGAGTCTATTGGTCTAATAAATACACACTGAGACAGTTGTTTGTGAAAACTCGAAGCCATTTTACAGCCAACCTATTTTAATATGATTATATATGTTGTTTAACCATTTTGAGCCTAAATCTCTTCTTTCGGTGGCATAGTCATATTATATAATCATTGACTTGAAAGATTGATCTTTCCACCCTCTTTGAAATTCGGTAGAAATTTTTAGTATCATAGTTAATTGGAAAATTATAAGTCTGGGGTTTCTCTTTAAAGTTAGCAACAAAAAGAAAAAAAAGTTAAAAAAAAGCTTCTTAGAAAAGTGCATTACAAAAAAGTGAGATGGAAGGAATTCGATAACATAGGAAAAATTAGGTATCTAACTCGTAAAGTTTAAGCTTAATATCCTAAATTATCCTACTCTGACATAAGCCACGTTACAACCTGTAAAAGACCTAAAAAATATGTGTTTAAATATGATTCTGATTGATCCTTAAATGCTTTTGTATGTTGATTGAGTGATTACCATGTCAAATTGAGTACATAATTGTGAGATGAGAGACAGGTTTAGTATTTGTATGTTGGAATAAATTTTTCAAGTTGATTGGATCGAAGAAAGGAACCAAAGTGTTGATAAAAAAAATAAAGGTGACGTGAATTGGTAAGGTTAAGAATTTTAAATCTGATGAAATGTTCAATGTGTAGACAAGTTACTTGAGGACAGGCAATCATTCATGTTTGGGGTTGTGATTGTTATTACGTGATTTTTATGAGAAAATTTGGAAGAGTAATGAGCAAAAGTCAAGAAAAAGTGTGAAGAATTTAGCAAAAATCTATCAAGAGGAAGAAATAGGTACTTATAAGAATTCTAAAGATAAAGTGAAGAAACAAACATTTTTCAGCACAATTTACATCATGACGTCTGT